TTTTCAAAACTAATTATCTGGGAGACATTTAAGCAGTTTAATGTGCTAGTTATTAAAGGAGCATAAATGTTCTTAATTATGCTCAGATCATTCCCCAGACTAAGCTATAATTTACACCTATGGCACTGTTTCACCGGTTTGTGATGGGATGTTACAGTGGTGCTCGTATGCTGATTATAAAACATTTAGAAACTCATTTGTTTTTCACTGATGGTCAAGTAAAAGCCAAGTCCTGGATCTTTCAGTAAATAAATTATTGGATGCAATTAATTATTCCTTTCTGTATAAGTTACTGATTATGGACAGTGGCTAGGTGTTACCTTGAAATAACTCAAGAGTGGGAGCATTATACAAAGTGCAACATTAAGCATGGGCCACAATCCTGTCAGTTATGCTCATCACTTCTTGCAGGTTAAGAAGCTGGCATAGGTGTTTATTATTATACACATGTCATGTTAACTGGTATGAGATAGTAAATGCCTATGCTGATTTATTAATTTATGATAGTTTGCTGCTGAAATTTATGCTGATGGAATTATGGCAGTATAAATATGTAATATGATTCTGGCCATAGTTTTTAATACTATTCTTTAAATTACTTGTAGCAGTAATAGTTGTAGGTGCTTACACTGAAAGTTCTTCAGTCTATTGCAGTGCCTGAATATTCACTGGCACTGAGCCATATATGTTGTCCAAAACTCCTTGTAGTATGGATAATAAGTTTAATAATAAGAATGGTCTTGTTTCATTGAATATACATTTTGATGCCAGCCATCGAGGATAAGAGGAGAGGTCTAGCAGCATACAAAGCCTGTCTTAGTGACTACAACTTCAGCTTGTTCATAGCAAAGTCCAACAGGGTGCCAGGAGATGTTCCAACAATTATTGGCTTCAGCTCTGCTCTCAGATACAGATGGCAGTGGGCACAGGTAACATCAAGGGAATGTATGACTGTATCAAGCAGCCTTTAGGTCCAATACAGAAGAAATCTGCTCCCTTGAAGTCTGCTTACAGGCATGTTCATCCAGGACTGAGCACAGCAGATGGAACGCTGGGTGCAGCAGTACTCTGAGCTATATTCCAGAGAGAATGCAGTAACTGAAGAGGCATTAAATAACATTGAGTGCCTGCCTGTCTTGGAAGAGTTGGACAGTGAACCAACTTTAGCAGAAATAAAAGTGGCCTTGGATTCCCTCACCTTCAGCAAGGCATCTGGAAAAACATTCCTGCTGAAGTGCTGTAAAGAGATCATCACCACCGAGCTGTATGAAATCTTTTGTCTTTGCTGGTGGGCAGGTGGAGTACCACAGGACATGAAAGATGCAAGCATCATCACATTGTATAAGAACAAAGGAGACGGGACAACTGCAATAACTACCGTGGCATCTCTCTTCTCACCGTTGAAGCTGCTTGCCCATGTTGTGCTAAAGAGGCTCCAGGTGCTTGCAGGCAGAGTCTATCCAGAATCAGAATGTGGATTTCAAGCTAATAGATCCACCACTGACATGGTATTCTCCCTCAGACAGTTGCAGGAGAAATGTAGGGAACAACAACAGCCACTCTTTGTGGCCTTCATAGATCCCACAAAGGCATTTGATTTGGTTAGCAGGGACAGCCTTTTTAAAATCCTTCCCAAGATTGGATGCCCACCTCGACTCCTTAACATCATCAGGTCCTTTCATGAGGATCAGGTCCTTTCATGATCCCTTTGACATCCAAAGCAGAGTGAAACAGGGCTCTGTCCTCGCGCCGAGCCTGTTTGGGATCTTTTTTGCTGTGTGCTGAAGTAGGCCTTTGGAACTGCAACAGAAGGGGTCTATTTCCAGACTAGATCAGATGGAAAGCACTTTAATCTCTCTAGATTGAGAGCGAAGACCAAAGTCCAGCTGAAATTCATGCAGGACTTCATCTTTGCCAGTGATGCAGCTATTGTTGCTCACTCTGCTGAAGACCTCCAACAACTCACAAATCACTTCAGCAAGGCCTGCCAAGGCTTTGGACTAACAGTCAGCCTGAAGAAAACATAAGTCATGGGCCAGGGCGTGGACTCGCCTCCCTCTATTCCCATCTCTACACAAGAACTGGAGGTTGTTCATGAATTTGTGTACCTTGGCTCAATGATCTTTGACACTGTCTCTAGATGTTGAGCTGGATAAACTCGTTGGCAAAGCAGCTACCACGTTCTCTAGACTCACAAAGAGAGTATGGGTTAATAAGAAGCTGACAGCATATACCAAGATCCAGGTCTATAGAGTCTGTGTCCTGAGCACACTCCTGTACTGCAGTGAGTCCTGGACCTTTTGTGCACGGCAGGAGAGGAAGCTGAACACGTTCCATGTGAGTTGTCTCCTATGCATTTTTGGTATCACCTGGCAGGACAAAGTTCCAAATAGAATAGTTCTCAAACGAGCTGGAATTCTTAGCATGTATACATTACTGAAACAGTGACATCTATGTTGGCTTGGGCATGTTGTGAGAATGGCTGATGGTCGGATTCCAAAAGATCTCCTGCATGGAGACTTAGTGCAGGGAAATCGCCGCAAAGCGAGACCACAGCTGCAATACAAGGATATCTGGAAGCGGGATCTGAAGACCTTAGGAATGGACCTCAACAGATGGGAAACCTTGGATCTGAGTGTTCAGCCTGGAGGCAGACGATGCATCATGGCCTCTCCCAATTTGAAGAGACACTTGTTCAGCAGGCCGAGACAAAGAGGTAGTCCCGAAAGCAGCAAAATCAGGGAGCTGGACAGGGGACAGATTGTATTTGTCTTTAGTGTGGAAGGGAGTGTCAGTCTCGAATTGGTCTTTTTAGCCACCCTAAATGCTGTTCCAGTTCCTCGATACAGAGCCACGTTACCATAGTCTCTCAAGACTGAAGGATGCCTAACTACCATTTTTATCAAATGATTTGAACAAAGTTGTTGTAAAGTTATTTTGTCAAGCAGATGTTATTTACTTAACAAGACAGAAAGCAACAAACTCACTTCAAACTACAGCTAATCATATTCTCCTTCACTCCAGTCCTATGTATGTTTCTGTTGCTTTTTCTGTAAGCCATGGTACATAGAATTGAAGCCTTTCTGAGGAATAAGTTTAAGCCTGTTAACTTGTTTATGAAAGTGTAGGTAATCTCTGTTGAGGCTTTTCTTAGGCTTCTTGATGAAAATACCAGGTTTTGAATGTATGTATAAATTCATCATGTACTTGAAGTCTTGACATCCTAGGACCAACCATTAAACAATGTGTTATGATTGTTTTCAGTGATTAAGGCTAGCTCTGTGATTAGCCTGAATGAGGAGATTTCATCAGGTGTTAGGACACATGGGGTTGATGAATTCACCATTCCCCACCTCACCTAGGCAGCTCTTCTGCATGGGATTTTATCAGTGTCTGACAATGTCAGTCTGTTGTGCATGCTGCTTTCTGCATGCCTTTAAAACAATTACCACAACATCTTCAAAGGTTGGGTCTACAATATAGAGAACTTTCTATGTTAGTTTAATTCCTAGCTGTACTGCCATCACCAGCAGCCTCTTTTTTTCCTATCCTTTTACACTGGGAGCTACTTGGATAGATGGGCACTGCCACCCACCCCATCCTTCTACTCTTTTGGAGGAGGGTGTTATTGATGTCAGCACTATTACTGCACCCTCCTTTTGAGTCTAGGGAGGAGGGATGAAGTTTCAGTTTCAATCCTTCCTCCTCAACCAATGAGGTATTTGCTGCCACAGCACTTGTCAGGATAGGGTAATGCTTTGCTTCCTGCCAGAGATGGCAATAGAGGGTGGGCTGCATATGCTAATTTGTAACTTAATCTAATTACAGCTATCCTAGTAGTTAGTGGCAAATAATTGAGATACAGTGGACCCTCGACTTACAGAGGGCTCGACTTACAGACTTTTCGAGTTAGACTTCTCTGGCTGCAAAATTTAGGTTCGACTTACAGAGAGAGAATCGACCTACAGACCAGAAAAAACCAAAATGGAACAAAAACAGCCGGTTACGGATTAATCGGTTTTCAATGCATTGTAGGTCAATGGAGCCTCGACCTACAGACTTTTCAACCTGTAGCCACCGTTCCAATACAAATTAATTCTGTAAGTAGAGGGTCCACTGTACTGAGGTTAACTAAAATGAGTCAGGGTGCAGCATTAAGTGCTAAATGACTTACTGTTGTAAGAAAAAAATTTTTTATACCAACTGAAGTTTTTAGTCTTCTCCAGGGAAATCCTTTTGTGTACCACATTGCCATAGACCAATCTGGATGTTGCCAGAACAAAGATAGCAGTGACAAGCTGTTCATTGGGGGCAGCAGCTGAATAGTCTAATCTGGAGGTAGTGCTACATACCACACATGCTGTCTGGGCAACAAGAGAATACCAGATGTACAGATTTTATCCTTTGAGGAGACTGCAGCCCTGTCCGGAACAAATTGTCTTTGAGGTCAGATACCTTCAGAAATTAAGTACTACTACCACCAGTAGTTTTATTTTGTCTGGCTGAGTTTCAGGGTTTTTATATTAATGTAGTCTGTTACTAGTCTTTGATGTGAATTCAGTGCATTTGCAACCTTATTAGAATGCTGAAAACACCCAGCTCCAAATCACTGAATGACCTTGCTCAAGTCTTAGGAGATGAAATGGTGTTGTATGTAAGATGGTGCCACAAGATTCATGAAGGGAGCAATAGTACATTCAATATCATCTTGTAGAATCAGTTGTATAAGTAGAAATGAAACTACTGGACTGGTCTGTTATCACCAGTTCTTATCTTGGGCAGCTGCATCAGGTGTACTCTTCTATGAAAACCATATCCTTACAGGTTCCAATAGCTTTTATTCAATATGTAAGAATAATTTGTACAGGCCTTGCCCTCTTTTGACAGGGTGGAGATTCTCTGATTGCGATAGAAATAGAGCAAAACTATATGTCTGTTATGGATTGTAATTATTATGCCTGCCATAATAGATAATTTAAACTATGTTTTTCTTTTTGCAGTGACTATTTATTTAAACTCCTTCTGATTGGAGACTCTGGTGTTGGGAAATCGTGCCTTCTGCTTAGGTTTGCAGTAAGTTTGCATGCATTTTCACCATTTTGTTAATGATTAACCATCTTCAAAATTTAGTTTGAATTTCCTGATGTATTTATTTGCTAGTGATTCATAACCAAAGGGGAGGGGGAATCCACATAGTATCATAAGAGAAAGAGTGTACATCTATCTGGATGTGCAAGAAGAAATGATGCAGCACTGAATTCTGCTTGTAAAATTTTATGGAGCAAATTCAGTGGAGCTGGTACTTTTTACTTAGTAAGCTTTCTTTTACCAAAGGCCGAAACGGTGACAACTGAAATATGTTGGCAGATTTTAAAAAATAAAAAGAAACATGTTGGCAGATACTGGGTGTGTTCAGTAGCTTTTTTATTCTGAGCAGTATACTCAAAATGTGTGGTTTTTTAAAACTGAGAATGGCTATGGGAGGGTGAATAATCTGCTAACTTTCATGTGAAACACATTGCTGGTATCAGAATGTCCTCATTTTTAACATATAGGAAATACACACTGATGTAGCTTCAGTTGTTACCTACAAAGTACTTGCTTTGCTTGGACTAGCTCTCCTTTCTTTGTGTTAATGCTGTAGGTCAGTGGTTCTTAACCTTTGTTACTCGGATGCATTTGAACTGCAACTCCCAGAAACCCCAGTCAGCACAGCTGGTGGTGAAGGCTTCTGGGAGTAGCAGTCCAAAACTCCTGAGTAACTCAAGGTTAAGAACCAGTGCTGTAGGTTGCAAGATTTCTGATAATTTTTTCTCTTCCTAGGATGATACATACACAGAAAGCTACATCAGCACAATTGGTGTGGATTTTAAAATCAGAACTATAGAGTTAGATGGAAAAACAATCAAGCTTCAGATAGTAAGTATTAACTGCCTGAGTTTGAGTGATAATCGTAGTGCGATATGCCTGCTAACTGTTAGATACAAGAACTGAACAAATGGCCCATGACTATATCTATGCTTACTGGATTCCTCTTCGGCATGTTTGTTTTCTGTGCATTTTTAATTAAAACACCATAATCCATTGTGTTATAGGGGACTGTTGAAAGACTCTGGCTAAACATTTGTACAGTGGTGTCCCACATGACGACGACCCCGCATGACGACGAAATCGCTTGACAATGACTTTTTGTGATCGCTATAGCGATCGCAAAACGGTGGTTCCTATGGGGTTTTTTCGCTTAACGATGATTAGGTCCCTGCTTTGGGAACCGTTTTTTCGCGGGACAACGATTTTCCCAGCTGATCGTCGGCTCCGCAAAATGGCTTCCCCCGCTGTTTTCCAACCCTTGTTTCGGAAGACAGGCATTAAAAACAGATGATTGGCACTCACAAAATGGCCCCCCTATGGAGGATCTTCGCTGGATGAGCAGGTATTTTCCCCATTGGAACGCATTAACCAGTTTTCAGTGCATTCCAATGGGGATTTTTTTTTCACATGACGACGATTTCACTGTACAGCGATTTTGAAGAACGGATTATCATTGTCATGCAGGGCACCACTGTATATAATTCAGGAGCTGGCTTTCAAATTAAAAATGTGTATGCTTTTTACCATTGTAGTTGATGAAGTGATAAAATAAGCTGCTTTTGTCTAATGCGGTTATGGAGTTGAAGGAATCCCTGCTAAAATACCTATAGTGGACACTAATAGCATTTTTCCCCATAGGGAAGTGTTTACATTTCAACTGACTTGTCTGTTTGCTATTTCCGTTCATGTAAATTATGTTCTTTGTTAAAACACAGTAATCTTTCTAAATAAAACACTTGAAAAACTACCAGCCTGGGAAATTTGATGCACATTAATATGCAGAAATAATTGTATAATGGTACAATTAACAGTTCATATTAATACTGACTGTGGTTAAAAACCAAGTGTGATCTTGACCAGTGGTTAACCTTTGTTACTCTGATGCTTTTGAACTGCAACTCCCAGAAACCCCAGTCAGGACAGCTGGTGGTGAAGGCTTCTGGGAGTTGCAGTCCAAAACTCCTGAGTAACCCAAGGTTAAGAACCAGTGATCCTCACCTGTATTACAGAGGAGCAAATTAAGAGAAAACATAGTAGGATATAGGATTTACATCCTTAGATATGTTCTTTGAACCCCTCAGGTTTAGTTTGGTTCTGATTATGTACAGATATGGGCATGAACTGCTGTTCTGCAGTTGGGCAGTTTGGGCACACAGCTTATTCCATGGGTGCTCTGGCTTCCCTGCCTCCTCTGGCTGATGCCCACCCAGAGGCAACACGTTTAATGCGTTTCTATGGGCTTAAAAACTGCGTTTAATACGTTTCTGTGGGCTTAAAAACTTGCCTTTAAGGGAAAATCCTCCATAGCGCCGCCATTTTCGTGGCCATTTTGTTTTTCCGGCGGCCATTTTGAACCCGCCGACCAGCTGGACGAAAATGGGTGCTTTCCGATGATCGCTTCCCCGTGATCATCACAAAGCGAATTTTCCCCATAGGGACCATTGCTAAGCAATCACTTTTGCGATGGCAAAAAGTCCATTGCTAAGTGATTTCGTCGCTCAACGGAGCGATCGCTAAGTGAGGCACCACTGTATGTGAAAAAAGTTTTAGGCAAGCCTTATACTAAGGTTTGAATTGCTTATTAAATTTATGAATCTCATCTGAAGCCCATTAGTCAATCTGTGCTTCATCTTCAGCATATATTTTGTATATAGCACAACTGGCTATGGCAATCTTTGACAGGAGCTGAAGTTCTCATAGGCCTTGTTGCGGTAAACATATGGCTGTTTTCCTGCTGAGCCCAAGATTCATAGAGGCAAAGCCAGACTTCACGGAGAGTCTCTGTGTGATAGTGACTATGTCTTGTATTTTTGATATGTGGAACATTTGCCAACTGTTATTAATATGGGATTGCATCTAGAGTTTACCCTACATAAACAGAAAGCCTTCTCCTATTACTGGCTAGTGTAACAACTGGCTGATTCATCCAGTAGATCCTCGTGCCACTTCACATGTTATTTTGGAGGTTTCTCAACCTTCCAGAGTTGTTCAGAGACACATGGGGCTCTAGAAATGAATTAGGATAAATGAAAATTGCATCTGCCCCCTGCTGTAGCCTGTAAGGCCATTCGGTACACAGTTTCACACCATGCAATTCATGATCCAGACTCACAGAATTTAGGAAACTTCCCAAAACTTGAGTATTAGATTATTTGCAGTGAAGTTGAAGGCTGACCTGAACATTCTTAGTTGAGAATATTCGGTTCCAAGATGGGAGGCTGGTGTACCCAGCCTTTGTTGGGGGAGATGCTTTGCTTGGAGAGATGCTTTTGACAGTAGCATGATTTTTTTAAAGGCAACAACAAAGGTCCTCTCCCTGGCTGCTCCCTGGTTAACAATCACCCTTTAACAAAGGGCCTCGTATTGCTGTGGCACTCCACTTTATTTTTTTGCAACTGACTTCAATAGACTGTAGATTTTCCGTTATAGTTAAGGGCATTTCTCAGAACTACTAAGTCATTTATTCCTTGTGGCTTGTTATTTTATAGTGGTCCATAAAGTATTATTTGAATAATTACAAAACTTTTTAATCTATCTGGAGTTAATAGAATGGAATGAACTACATCTCTGAATGGATTCAGTCTCTTAAGTTATTTTCTAAGTTGCTTTCTGTTTTTGTAGTGGGACACAGCAGGGCAAGAGAGATTTCGAACAATCACTTCTAGTTACTACAGAGGAGCTCATGGCATCATAGTTGTGTATGATGTTACAGATCAGGTAAGTTCTGAGTGTTTTGGTACTTTATTTAAAAACTGAATTCCATCTTGTGGGCCAGTCATACAGAAATGTAACTTTGTACGTTTGTATGAGGAAAAGAGGCTTCAGTGCAGTATAACACACACCAGCTTCTTGTTCAAATTCTCCTGGCAGCTTTCCAGTGCTCAGTTGCAAGATGATTGGTCTGGCAGTGATGGTTTAGGAGTGCTTGTTGGCTCCTTCCTCCCAGCACTTACAAATTTTTGCACATGTTTTTTCTCCATTTGTAAAAGCCTTAGAGCCAGACAGTTTTACTTGATTCTAGTCAGCCCTCCTGAAAAACCGTGGAAGAAAAAGTTGGGGAAGTGTGTGGCCTTCCAGACACTGCTGAATTGCCACCTGCTCTTCTCTTGCCAATGGCTTTCCTAGCCAGGATCTGACTTGAGATGCGGTTCAGCATTTCACCATGGGCTACATGCTCTCCATCCCTAGTCATTCTGGTTAAAAAACAAAACCAAAACAAAACCAAAGATGTGTTTGACAAACATTAAACAGACCTGTAGAAACTTATCAAGATTTCCTGAAGACCCCCTTAAAAAGAGAATGCAGTATTGGACTTCACTAAAGGCAAGGCTTGACACATTCTTCTTTTACCTTCTAGGAGTCATTCAACAACGTAAAACAGTGGCTGCAAGAAATAGATCGTTACGCCAGTGAAAATGTCAACAAGTTGTTGGTAGGGAACAAATGTGATCTGACCACAAAGAAAGTAGTAGACTATACAACAGCAAAGGTATGTCAGCTTAGCCAACTTAACTGATTTAAAAGGCAAAAATATATTGCAGTGCCTTGGGTGTAGGATACTAAAGGGCTAAGTGGGATGTTGTAGCAGTTGTCAACTAAATATTAAACAAAACTGATCAAAAGGATTATGTTCATTACACATGTATAATGGTTAAACAGTTTCATTCTTATCTAAGGTTTGAGTAACACTTAACAGTGATATTTTTTTTCTGTACAGGAGTTTGCAGATTCCCTTGGGATTCCATTTTTGGAAACCAGTGCAAAGAACGCAACAAATGTAGAACAGTCTTTCATGACCATGGCTGCTGAGATAAAAAAACGAATGGGTCCTGGAGCTACAGCAGGTGGTGCAGAGAAATCTAATGTTAAAATTCAGAGCACTCCAGTCAAACAATCTAGTGGAGGTTGTGGCTAAAACTCTTCTCCCCATTTGTTTCTCAACAATGAGTTTGAAATCTGAACCCAACTGGAAAAAAATTGCCTGAATTGTACTGTATGTAGCTGCACTACAACAGATTCTTATCGTCTCCACAAAGGTCAGAGATTGTACATGTTCAATACTGACTTTTTTATTGCTTCCCCCAGTTCAATAAAGCTAACTTCATTTTCAGAAATGTGTTAAACCTTTTCGTGTGCTGGTTTATAAATGCGTGTAATCCTTGTTTTTTTCTAAATACCAGATAAGTTTCCTGTGGTTGGTTAAACTTGGATTTTTTTTTTTCCTGATCATATTGGCATGTTTAGATGTCAGGTTTAGTCTTCTGAAGATGAAGTTTAGCCATTTTTGTATTCAACAGCACAACCGTGTCTGTCACTTTTCCATGCATAAAGTTTGGTAATATGTTCTATGTAAGATCTAATTTGCTAGTTCTTGTAGAGTTATAAACAAAAGATTACTCTCTGGCCAGGATCCAAAGAATTGTGCTAACTTGTTCCATGCACTCAAGGTTGGTTTGGATACTTCTTGAAGAGCATCTCCCCTGGCTAACCTCTTTGGAAACTGAGGGGCATTTTCAAAGGGAGTGGGGGGTTGCAATTCAGAACAGTTGCAAGCCTATCGTAGCTCTTTGGATCCCAAATGCTGATTCCCCCCCTTCATACTCTACATATAATTTGTGGCTGCAGAATATTGTAATTTGTTGCACAATATGTAACAAACTGAAGAAATGTTTAATAAATATTGTACTTATTGGAAGTAATATCAAACTGTATGGTGATAAGTATTGTCTTAATTCTTAAGGGGAAAGGCTTGCATTGTGCCCTGATGAACCTTTTTTATGTGCAGCAATGGCACTTTTGAACCTTTTCCTAGACCAGACCCTTCCAGCTGAGCAAATAACTAGCAAGGATGGCCTGAATGACTGCGATCCCATGGTGTTTCTGGCATGTATGCTATACTTGGAACACAATTTATAGAATCATAATCACTCTGAAATGTACAATATTTTCCCCTTCTATGTGTGTCTGGATCCGTTTCTAAATGACTTCATTTAGAAATAATGTGTCTCTTGCTCTGTCATAGAAGAGGAAAAGCAGTATTTTCCTAACATATGAATGACTTCAAACTAACAAGGTGATGTTATCTCTGATGGTATGTTATGTCTTTTCTAAATAATGTTACTTCCATTCTCTCACAATCAAATACTGTTGACTTTAATAAACTTAGTGCAATTTATTGGTTGGCTTGGTTATGCGCACAAGGCACAAGGAACTTAAGGTGGTGGGAATTGGTGATAACTGGCCAGAAAACCAATGTAATTTTGTGTAGGAGAAGACTTGTAGATAAAAAAAATGTAAGTCTGAAAGGAAATGGAGGCTCTGGCCTAATGCTACAGTGACCACATGTAGAACTTTTGTACAGAAAAACTAATCCATTAGTGCCTGATATCTGGGTTTTAAAGTTACCAACTTGATTGAAGAATCTCTTTACAAATGATACTGTTTTAAAGCTGCAGCAAAGGCTTTTTTAACACCCAGATATGACTGCAGAATGCATCATTTGGGTATTTTGAGAGGCAAGTGTGTTAGCAAATCACTAAAATGAAAACCCCATCCCTGTCAGGGGATAAACTTTAGTGATTTGCATTCACAGCTGGAATACATAGTACTTTAAAGCTTTCCTACTGTTGTCAGAAAATTGAAATTATTGAAACTTTGAAATTGCTCTCTTGACCTTCACAATAAAGTGTACTTCCTAATGATATATGCTTAGTGGATCAATTAATAACCTGCTTGTAAAAAGTTGTAGTGTAAAACTGCTAAAACACTATGTTAAATTTTAAAATAAAAAGTCCAAACATTAGTCATTTGGGCCATGCCCTTTCTGCTTTCTCCTGGCCTATGATGTCACTGTCTGCTTTAGCTATGCCCTCTTGGAAGTAGATGTCCAATCTGAAAATCATCCCTAGATTCTGCTACTTCCTATTATACTTCTAATATGACACATTCTAGCATAGTAGTCAAATACACACACTGTAATAACCACTTGCTTAGATGCTCGAAGAGGCTAAAAAATTAAACTTGTTACTAAAATGTGATACCCTTGGGCATGACTCACAGGTGAGCAACTTCACTTTTTACTGAGACAGTAGCTGAAATCCTGTTAGCACAAATGTACACAACACAAGGCAGATAATGTCATTATCCAGCAACAGATATTGTAAATTAAGAACTTCCTTCCCCTTCAGGTTCTGCAACTCCCTTTTGCCCCCATGGGAAGCTGTGTGGAGTTTTTAATATTGGAATATTGCTGCTGCCAGCCCCAATTCAATGTGATGTTATCCTGATGTTAAAGTTTCCCCTTTCCATCATGTTTGCAAAAGCAAAAGGGATCCCTAGGGTAGTTGGGAATCTAAAGAGGATAGGAAGTTTTTAATGTAATTAAAATCATCTGTTGCAGGCTGATAGTCATCTGTTTTGACCAGCATAAATTTAGGCCAACAGGATTTCAGTCAATGACAACTAGCAATCAGAGCTGAGTGCAAAACAATGGAATAAGTAGAGCCTGTCATAAAATGGTAGCGTAGAGAGAGTTGCTATATGTTAATTTGTACACTGGGCTGGCCTACCAGTCATGTCCAAATATTCATGTGATAGATTTGAGATTGTAACAATTCTGAAAGTGGCTAGCAATATACACAAGTCTCATGGGTGAGAGACAAGACTAAGATGAGATTTAATACCTGGCACCAGAACTATGACAGCACTGGTTGATAAATAATGAGTTTGCAATTCTTGGAAATCACCTGTGTACTGAGCTTACAAGTAACTGAAAGCACATGACTTGAAGTACACTATGGCAGTAAGCAAACAAGAGGGCTATTAACATGACTGAATAATTCCCTAGCTTCTCTTATAATTTTGGTTAAACAGCCAAGTTGGATGGTTCATTTACCTGGCCAAGTTGCTGGGAGGAAAAAAGATCAAATCTTCGAGAATGTTAGAATCCACTGGGACTTGGCATTATAGCCAAGTGAACATATAGCAATCCATATGTTTTTCCTTTCAGACAGGGTGTGGCCTACTTCCACCACACTCAAGGACCTTGAAAATCTGCCCCTTCCAAAGCCCATTTTATATATATGTCTGAAAGGGAAAACATATGGATTGCTATATGTTCACTCTCTCTATATATATATAGAGAGAGAGAGGTCTGAAATCCATGGCCTCCAGGAATGCAATTGACTATTTTACACCGTTCCCCATGAAATGTTTTATTAAGATCTCTATAGGCTTAAATATGTTGACCCATGATTTAGAGAATTTATAGGAGGTCCCTGAAATGGCCAATCCCAACACCAAAAAGAGGGAGGAAGAACAGACCTGGGCAGTGGCATGTCATCTGCAGGCCTCTTATAAGAAAAATATGTAGCTTACTTGTAGCTTCTCTTTATCTAGCTCCTTATTTGAAACATCCAGTTACTCAAACCTTTTGGGTGTATTTAAAGTGTTTTAGATATTTTAAGAAAACTTAAGCCACAGTGTAACTTTCAGGAATGAATCTTGGGAGCCCACCATCCCCCAGATTCTCTCCCTCCAGTGCAACCATGAGGAGTATTTGCTTTCATTTTTTACTGATTTGTTATATCTAAAATAGTATAATTTATGGTTCTTTTTTTACCAGTCCATGGTGAAACAAGTCAGTTTCATGCTGATTTATAACCTTGTCTTTTCTAGACATGCCATGGTTTAAAACAGACCTTCACTCTGTTGGTTAGAAGAAACTATTTTGTTATGTGGACCAGTTGTTTCTCCGCTTTTCATCATTGCTACAGTGAAGCAAAATAAGGGCACTGGAGCTCAAGGTTCGGCCAGATTTAAAGAACTGCCTCAGATTAGTCAATATAAACATAAGACAAATTACCTTTCCCCAAGAAGTTCTCAAAGCTTTAGAGGATAGCCTTTAAACAGGACTTTCTAAATAAATTTTATAGACTCTTTTCAGTAGTTTGCGGAAGAGAAACGTCACCCTGCTGCTACTTTAAGTAGTATTAGGGTACCTCCTTTTCCTCTGGCTTCGCACCTTCAAAATTTATTCAATTATAGTCAGTCATGCTGGTTAAGGACAATGCTAGTCCAGGACATATGGACAGCCTTAGGCTCAGGAAAGCTGGCTTACATGGTCCAAAGCTGTTCAAGGAGCATTAAGGCAACATAAAAATGTTCAGGTGTACTGAAGTCCCCTCACTGGGAGAAAGGCAGCCTATAAATGATATAAAATAAATAAATATTCCAAATGCATGTTCTAAGAATCTGCTAACTCATGCAACAATTAAAATACTTTTATTCAAAATGCAGTCTTCAATAGAAATGTTAATACTTTACACGATTCTTTTAAAATGGAACCGAAGTACGAAAAGGGGGAAAACACTGAAGAATCACAAGCTGTCTACTTGATGATATATAAAGTAAGTCGTATTAAACCAACAAATACCCAGCTATTAGAGACAACTGATTGTTAAGCCATCCATTGCTCCAACATCAGCAAAGGTTGTATTCTCACTGCTTTCCATCAAGCGTCAGAGAGGAAGCCAGTTGCTGAACTCGCAAATCATGTTTTGTGACATTTCAACAAATCACATTTTTGAAGGGTAAGTTCTTCAGAGCCATTCTCTCCTCTGAAAACCATTTCTTTATTCTACATCAATTTTCTTACTCAAGAAGTTACTTTGTTCAGTTAAAGATGAGTTGCAGAAGTCCACATCAACTATGGGTATTACCTGGATTAAAATAATAATAAAACATTGCATGTGTATCCTGTCTTTCTTACTTATGTAACTCAAAACAGTATATATAAGGTTGGCAGGCAATTTTCCATCCAAAAACCCAGCAAAGCCATTTAGCCTCAGGAAACTACTGATTTTGTTTGAATATCAGGAAAAATGTCTTAGCTGTTAGAGCAGTACAACAATGGAATCAATTACCTCAAGAGGTGGTGAATGTTCCAATATTGGAGGCATTCAAGAGAATTTTAGACAACCACCTGGCAGATACCCTTTGATTTGTATATCTGCACTGAGCAGGGGGTTGAACTCGATGGCCTTATAGGTCCCTTCCAACTTCATCATTCTATGATTCTATAAAAGGTCAAGTTGCTTTCAATAAAAGGGTGAGCAACAGGCAGATCAGGATCTACTAGTAGTGATTTGCAGTAGTTCTGCAGGAGTTTCAGTCACCGCATTCTTTCACAAGAGCAAAATCTCCACCCAGCCTGCATTATTAGTCTTCTGAAATGAAGAAAGTTGGGGTGAGGCAGGTGAAGATCCTTGTTCCAAGTTGCATTGCTCAGAAGCACACAGTTCCTCAGTTCTTCTAGGGGCATATCTGCTCTTTGTATGGATTCCTCCTCTTCACTACCCCGCAAATGGACTACTGGAGTCTCAACACTCCTAATTAACTTGAAACAAAAAGCATTATACAACATGTACCCACACCAGCACTCTTTCCCTCTGATTTACTCACTTGGAAGATTTTGCAGGGGCAGCTATTTGTTGAGCATCATGGTTCTTCATCAAAGTAGCACCAAGAGCATCCATAGCAGCAACAATGGACTCATGCAAACGTCCAGCATCGTTTTCAAGCTCACTGGACTGTTTTGCAATCAAACCAAGAGTGCTCTGTAAAACTGAAGCAAATGTTATTGTGAAAAATGGGATTACAACAAGTCAAGCAGCAGGATTCTGACAGGTTTGAAAGTCTTCTGGAGAACACGCCTTTCTAAAGCTAAGCTACAAGAAACAAATATTACAGGAGTAACCAGGTCTGGTCTGACTAGACAAGTGGCTAACTCCCTCAAGTAATCTTATGTGGGAGTAGGGTTGGATTGCTGTATATATGCCTGGAACGGAAAAAACTGTTCCAGAATGAAGGCCGCTTTCATTAAACAAGTGGATGTGACAGTGATTACCAAAAAGCACTACTTAAAATCTGACTTCCCAAACATGGAGGCAGATCTGTACTCATTCATGCAATAGTTAGCCTTGGACAAGCACTCTGCCTCCTATCTTAAACCTTTGGGCATGCAAATAGCCAAACTGTGTTGTTTGTTGTTGTTTAGTTGTTAAGTCGTGTCTGCCCTCCTGTCTTTGAAAAGTTATTTTTTATGACAATTAAAGCAGAACCCTTCAGAAACTAGAAAATATCAGGACAGGGCTGTATAGTCCTCAAAATAATACAAATGCAGGAACAAGTGACAGCTTTATCGGACCATTAAGAAAATAAAAAATAAAGCAAGCTTTTGATGATAACTCATCTTTCTCAGGCTGTACAGCAATATCTTGTGGGTAGCTCCAAAATTATATGTCCATATTAGAGGCTAGATACAGCTACAGTGAGCTCAAAGATGGCATGTGATTCACAAATGGGAAAACTTCCACTTTAGGTGCTGCATAAGTTGTCCAGGCACCAGTAATATTCAGCACACCTTAGTGGCTAGAGCAAGGAAGGGTGATGGCTTGCCTGTAGTCACACCAGGAACTCTTCCCCCATCTCTGAATTTGCTAAGGTCACAAGCAACCTCTCCAAAGGGCGATTCTGCTTAAAAATAAGGCACATCTTCCATACAGTATGCGCCTTGTTTTTGCCAAGGACGGTTTGCAACCACTGCTGAGATAAGATGGAGCCCTTGATGGCTTCAGGGAGGGCAATGTGGATGCTGGCCATCTCTGTGTTAGCAGCTAAGTAAAGACTGGAAGACTCAGGTTCCATCTCCCACTTGGCCATGATGCCTGTTGTGCCACCTTGGCAGGCAGTCACTCTCTTGCAACATAATTCATCTCTCAGCTATTTTCTAAGAATAAAATTGAGGGAGCAGAGAGAGAAAAATCTAGAGGTCTTCAGAGGAAAGGTGGGAATTAAATATCATCAATTAATTAACTAACTACTCCCGGTCTGCAGCAGGTGACCTGCGAATGAATGTACAGTGATGCCTTGCAAGATGAAAATAATTAGTTCCGCGAATCGTTTTGTATTGCAAAAATTTCATCTTGCGAAGGGCGGTTTCCCATAGGAATGCATTTAAATTTAATTTAAAAAATGAAAAAAAAAAAAAATCATCTTGTGAAGCAGGGCCATAGAAAAATTTGTTTTGCGAGTCACCAAAAAAATCGCAAACCGCTTTTGTCTTGCGAGTTTTTCGTTGTGCGAGGCATTTGTCTTGCGGGACATCACTGTATTACAAACTGCAGAGGACAAGACCTATCACATTCTTTCCCTGTTCAAAATTGTTAATTACAAACTATAGAGGACAAGACCTCTCACATTCTTTCCCTGTTCAAAATTGTTAAAATTTAAAGTCAGCCTTTAAAATGAGAAGCTGAATTTTGAAAACTAAGAGGTATATAAAACACACCCAATTCATATCCTTTGGCCTTTTTTGAGGGGGGGGGCTTTCAAGCAGAAAAAAACGGCACCACCAGGCATGTTTTCATTAAAGTTCAATTCTGACTGGTTTCAGTGACAGCATTAAATACATGCTCAAAGCTAGAATTTTACATGCACTGATACAGAGTAAGTCCTACTAAATTCAACAGACTTATTTCTGAGTAGTCATGGAGAGATTCAACCTATAGCTCTCCCCTGTGTAAATCAGTACTATTACTGCTGTGTCTTCAATAGCAAGGAAGCTAGAAGCCCCAAATTTCACAAAAATGCTCACAGGTCTCTTAAATATCTTAACATTTACATATAGCTTCCAGAGGTTGGAAAAAGTTCTTTGCAATACAATTCCCAGAAGCTCCCAAACAGCATGGCCACAAAGGCAAGGAATTCTGGGAGGTGTTGTCCCCCCCCCCAAAAAAAAAGACACTTGCAAGCTCTGCTTCCGTCCAACATCACATTTTGCTAGTAGTTCCAGCACACAGTAGTCCCTCTTACCTGGTGAATCTGATGCCATGTGTTTGAGGAGCCTGTCACCATCTTGTAATACACATTCAGTCAATGCCTGATGACCAGCTAAATCCTTTTTAAACTCCTGTAACAAAGGGTATTTGATGTTGTGGTTTCTTAGCATGCACAACCAATTACAGCACAGTGCTGGGGCAAGGGATTGTGGCAGTCGCAATTCAACAGGGCCCCATTCCTGATTTAAAGGATCAGGAATTCTTAGATTTGGTTCCAATCATGCGATCTAATGAACTGTGCAAATAATGAACCCCTCAGCCAGATCCTGTATGGAGTAATGAAGGTTCATTTTCACAATCAAGTTTGCTGATATTGTTTCACATACAGAGTAACAGCATTCGCGTATTTGCTCTGGTTTTGAGAGAACTTGCTTTTCTCAGGCAACCCATGCAGAGAAAATACTCTCGTGTTTGAGAAGACCAGCTTTGTCTGCCAGAGAAAGAAGAAGCAGAATGGTTTAAAGCCCCCCAGTTTCTACATCAAGTGCACGCCGCACTATCTTGAGAAGATAAACACGTCTGAATCTACACATTCCAGACAGATCTTAGGAAAGTATTGTGTTGGATTGCAACTCCCAGAATCCCCCAGCCAGCACTGACACTGGCCAGCCTGGCTGGGGAATTCCAGGAATCTGCAAGTTAACAAGGCTGATCTGGGATAGTCTCTGTAATGTACCCACTGATGTGCATGAGGTGAACTGGCAAGATGAATTCACCTGAGACAACAGGCAGGACAGGTACTGGCTGGGGGACGGAGCTTTTACCATTTCTCAGAACTATCTGTTCAGCACTTCTGTACACTCGGAAACAGAGCCTCCAGTATAACACAATGCAGCCATGTAAGAACATGGAAAGGATCACACAGGATGCCTAAGCAGGCAGGGCAGAGGTGGGCACAACACAGCACACAGCCAGCTATTCCCTCCCACAAAAGCTAAAGGATAAGAAGTGGCAAAAGGTACCCAGCTTGTTGGCTCTAACATTATCGAAAAAGGATGTCGATGCTGTTTTAACTGAGAAGCTATTCAACCTGCAACTCAAATGTGTAAAGGAAGCGGAAACAGAGATAATTACCAAGTAATTTTGCAATGATGTCTTAACACTTTCAATATCTGGCCTGGGAGGAATCCAGTTGCCCGTAACTTCTGCTATTTTGTGCAGCCGATGAATGAGCTCTTCTAACTGTCCACAAAATATCTACTTGGACAAATCAGAACAAAAGCATCCATCAGCTCCATAAGAAAAGACAACATTTATTTTATTTACTCATTATTACATTTTGATCCTGTCTTTCCATTGAGAAATATAAAAAGTGGTTAAGGCAGCTAACAAAACTTCATTTAAAAGTTTGGTTTTATTTTGAGTAATATTAAAATCATCACCATCACAAAAACAATTGAAAAGGAGAAATTGAAAATATGCCTCTTCACAGTCTACCTAAAAGCAGCAAGAGAGAGAGGTGACTGCAACTCTTAAGGATTTGATGTACTTAATTACAATTTTTTAAAAAAATTTAAATGCAAGGTTGGGAATAGATTTAGCAAGATCAGAATTCTTGTGTGACTCTTGAGAATGACATAAAAATCTGCATAAAATAAAATACACTGCCCTTCACAAGGTCTGTAGTGAAATAACCATTGTTTGAGGTGAGCATCGTCATATTCCAATTGACACAGCTAGATGATGAACAGCCTATAATTGCTACTGTCTGTTTTCTTTTTTTCAATTCAAAGAAACACCAAAGCAAAGCACATTCCCTGCAGCTGTTCTAATATTTGAACTGGAATGTTAGTTTCTGTGTGTCAACTCAAGACTGAGGAACCTCACGCATGTCAAATTATAGTGGGTGGATATCTTACCTATATTCTCTTATATTCTGTACAGCTCAACCCAAGCATAACATCTGAGATTAGCCCTTCGAAAGTCACAAAGATTGCCATCCCTTACCCATTTATTTACCTGGGAATAAAACCTACCGAAGTGGAAACATCAGTGGGTCCAAAATGCAGCAGCCGGATTGTTACTTGGGGCTGGTTATAGGGAACATATAACAACCCTGTTACTGTAGCTGCCCCGCTTGCTGATCTGTTTCCAGGCAGAATTCAAAGTGATGGTAACCTATAAAGTCCTAAATGGCTCGAGTCTAAGCTATCTCATGAACTGCATCTCCCTTTATGAGCCTGCTTGACTGCTAAGATCATGGGAGGCCTTCCTCTCCATTCCACCACCTTCAAAAGAGAATTTGGTCGGGGATACGAGAGTCTTCTCTGTCGCTGCTCCCAGACACTGGAACTCCCTCCCACAGGAGGCCAGGCTGGCCCCATCTTTACTGCCCTTCCACAAGCAGGCAAAGACCTTTCTCTTCAGGCAAGCTTTCCCTGAGTGAATGGCTGCTAAGGGGTATTTTTTAAATGGATTTTTTTATCTTACTTAAATTTTGGTGCTGCATATATTTTTTGGTGTTGTATTCATTACTCCTTTTACTATTGTATACTCATTGTTACTAACTTAAATACTATGTTTTAATAGTTGTAAGCCACCTTGGTTCCTTTTTAAGGAGAAAGGTGAGTTAAAAATATTTTAAACAAACCAGCAAACCAGAGATTAGTTCAATGTAAATATGTGCACTGGAAATTACTGGAGCTTAGATTGCTTCCAAACTACCCAGTAGGCATGTGTGGAAAGCTGTTTAGTTTTAAATGTGATTTTTAAAAAAACCTTACCTTAATCCTCTGTGCAAGGGAGTCCCTGTGATTGTCCTTTTCTTTACTGACGTGATAGATGGCACTCCCAGGGAATTCTAGGCACCTCACTGCGAGATGGCTAGCAGTCTCTCTCGGCATGCTGTCCTGGTCCTTGCAGCCTTGTTTGTTCAAAACGTTTTCTTCTGCATGTTCACGAAAGCTAGAGGTATGGCAAGAATCACAGTATGGTTCCCACTGGCTCTTGTCACTGGCATAATCCCCGTAAACCTTCGGCAGGCGCTGCTCTCTCTTCACACTGAGGGACGGAAAATCATCTTGTATATGCTGATGTTCAGGTTGGGTTAGGCTCAGTGACAGATCCGTCAGCTGCTGAGCCAGTGCCTCCAATTCTTTGAGCCTGGGTGGTAAAGAGAGATACTCTTCCCCCCCGGAACAATCGGTTTGTAGCGGCAGCATCCGTGTGGAGCGTATGAAGGTGTTACTAGTAGCATCTCTTTCTGTAAGATACTCATGTCCCCTTGAGTTCCAGTCCCTTCCATCAAGGCTAATCGTCCCAGAGGGATCGGGGCTAAGGCACCTAGGGGACAGACCATGTGTCATCATGCCAGAGGTGCCAGTTTCACCAGCGGAAGGATCTCCATCCATGAAAGAAACTTTCCCAACAGGTGAAAGTCTGTAGCGAGAAATTGGAGAGGGACATTCTAGCTTTTTCAGTGAAGGAATGGAACACCTTTCCGTACTCTGAATCCCTGCAGTTTGTTGTTCTTGGTCCTGCACAGTCAAAAACTTCAAGCTACTCTCAGGGGAAACAGAGAGGCTATCGAGGTCAACCCCAGAATCATGGACAGTGGAATCGTTGGGTTTTTTGGCCAGCTTGTGTTTTGGCCTTAAAGGGTAGGTGTAGTCAAGCAAGTCTTCATATTCTTTATTAGGATCCCAGTGGGGGGACTGACGGTCTGGTGATGGCGGTAAGCAGTCAGGTATGGCACATGCCCAGTAGTCAGCTTGGAAGGAGGACATCTTTCTTATCCGTTCCACCAGTGAACAGCTATCCAGAGGGGTTCGCTTGGCTGTGCCTACCATGGAGCTCCTTTTAAGGCCAAAGCGACTGTGCAAATTCCAGGGAACAGATGTTTCTGACAGTGGATGAGCTGCCACTGTTGAAAAGCTCTTAGACCTTACCATTTCCTGCTGCTTAAAGTCGCCGTCTTCTGACAGTTGTAAGGAAATGCTAGTTCTGGGAGATACAGGCATGGTGGCACCAAGGTGTGCATTTCTTTTACTTGACAAATGTTTTGGCGTGGATGAATGAGGGGGAAGCAGCATCCGGCCCCTACATTCAATATCAAAGTCATGGAGGGGCCTGGTGGTACGGCTGCAAAATGTAGAATCCACTCCTCTGGCTGGAAGAAATCCTGGAAGGCCCAGCAAAGTGTCGAGCACCTCTGCAGAAGCAGAGCGCTCTGCCGGAACCCTCTGCGGAAACCATTTTCAAAAAGGGAAAAAGAGATAAGAAGAGTAGTGGTTGATTTGCAAGAAAGTACTGTTTACAGCACAACACTTTCAATTCTGAACAGCTAACAAAACTCCTATTTGCTTGTTTGCACAGGCCTGCTCTGTCAATAAAGCCATCTCAGGAATACATTACATAGGAATAATCCCTCATCCTTCCTGTTTACTTACTCCTCTGCAACTCAAGTATTTTACTGGTTTCAAAACTGGCAAATACTATAAAACAATCAAAATACAGTGGTGCCTTGCTAGACGATGATAATCCGTTCCACTGAAATCGCCATTTAGCGAAATCATTGTCTAGCGGAAAGCATTTCCCCATTGGAATGCATTGAAACCTGTTTAATGCATTCCAATGGGAAAGAATCGTCGTTGTCTAGCGAAGATCGGCCATAGGAAAGCCACTTTGCGAACCGCCAATCAGCTGTTTAAATCGCTGTCTTGCGAAGCTTAGGTCCCGAAAACCCGTTTTGCAAGCGCGGAGGGAGCTGTCAAAATCGTCGTCTAAGCGAAAATCAGTTTATGCATTTATTTATTTATTTATTTAATTTGCAAAGCAGGTTTACGAAGCAGGGACCAAACATTGTCCAGCGAAATTCCTCCATAGGAATTACTGTTTTGCAAATCACTATAGCGATCGCAAAAAGTCAATGTCTAGTGAAAAAACTGTCACGCGGGTT